ATCTTGGTCTTCAGATATGATCGTTCTGGGTTCAAATTTCTCCGTGTTTGATGTCCTTGGTAGATCATATCTCCCACCAAGTCCAAAATCATCTTCATCTATCTCATCTGAACACTCATTAGCAGATTCATCAAATATCACATTTATGGACTCTTCCACTTTGAGAGTCCTTTTGTTGAATATTATATATCCTCTGCTAGTCAAGGAATAGCCGAAAAACACACATTCATCGGACTTGGCATCAAACTTCCCAAGATGATCTTTGGTATTTAATGCAAAGCACTTGCAACCAAAGGGATGAAAATAACTCAGATTGGGTTTTCTTCCTCTCCAAATCTCATAAGGAGTCTTCTTAATTCCAGATCTGATCAAAGCTCGATTAGTAATATAGCATGCAGTATTTATGGCTTCAGCCCAGAAGTACTTAGGCAAACCATAGTCATGTAACATTGTTCGAGCTATGTCAATCAAAGTCCGATTTTTTCTTTCCACCACTCCATTTTGTTGCGGAGTTCGAGGAGCAGAAAAATTGTGACTTATTCCTAGCTTATTGCAGAAGAGTTCAAACTCTTCTGAGATAAATTCTCCACCATGATCACTTCTAATGCTAGCAACCTTAGATTGTTTTTCATTTTCCAATTTCCTAGTTAGAGACTCAAATTTTTGAAAAGCTTCACTTTTGCTAGCTAGAAACAATACCCAAGTGAAACGAGAATAGTCATCCACTATTACGAAAGCATAAGACTTACCTCCATAGCTTACCACATTGGTAGGTCCGAAGAGATCAAGATGAAGTAATTCAAGAGGTCTTGTTGTGGATATTGCCGTCTTACTCTTGAAGCTAGACCTTGTATGCTTTCCATTAGCACACGCATCACAAAAGAATTCCTTCTTGCTTTTTTAACTTAGGAAGACCTTTAACTAGCTCAAGGTCACTTAGTTTAGACAAAATTCCTACACTCACGTGACCAAGCTTCCTATGCCAATCTATCTTATCATTTTTCTCTAGAGACATTAGACAGGTTACCTTAAAACTTTCTTTATCATCTAGATTTATGACATATAACTTATTTTTACGTCTACCGGTGAAAAGCACTTTCTTATCCACCAAAGACTCGATGTAGCAACAATCATGTTCAAAAATTAGCCTCTTATCTTTCCCACACATTTGACTAATAGAGAACAGATTATGCTTAAGACCTTTTACTAACATCACATTTTCAATGCATGGATCAGAACCAACTATTCCTCTTCCTATTATGTCGGCAGAATTATTGTCACCAAAAAATACCTTACCACCTTTACCTTCTTTGAGTGTGGTGAATAGGTTTCAATTTCCCGTCATGTGGTGTGAGCATCCACTGTCTAGTATCTATTCAGTTGCCTCCATGCTCACTTGGAAGCAAACCTGCGCCATTAGCAGTCATGCAGTTTTGGGTTTTTGTATCCAGACTTTCTTGGATACAGTTTGTTTGTGATCTTTAAGAGAACAGAATCTACTAATGTGACCGATTTGATGACAAGTAAAACAAGTTCTATCTTTTTCATTTTGTATTCTCTTTCTGCAAGCTCGCCTAATGTGCCCAAATTTATGACAATAGAAACATTCTATGTTTCTATATCTTTGTTTTAATGTTCCATTCCTCTCATGCTTTATTGATTCTCCAAAAAAATTCGACTTACCTTTACTATATGAATTTGAACCTAATTTTTCACCATGTCCCTTAGTGGACTGATTTAGGTAAGATTTACCTTCCTTTTTCATAGATTCAATCTTATTCCCTTCTAATGATATTTGAAGTTTTGCCGTGAGACTCGATTTCTCATTTTCTAGAACTTCAACTTTCTTAGCAGTTTCATCTAACTCTTCTTTTAATCTGATCGCCTCCTTCTTTAGTTCATCATATTCAATGTTTATTTTGGCATGATCAGATTTCAGTTTAGAGTATTTTACTTTGACATTTCCAAACTCTAACTGAATTTCCTTGATAGTGGATACTAATAGATCATCATCACTATAGTAATCACTGTCACTGAAATGAGTATGGTTGGAAGGTTTTACCTCGTTTGAGTTATGTCCTTCTGATGGCTCTTCAACATCAATTGCCATGTAGCTTTCTTCTCTTGTTTCCTCTCCATCCTCATCTTCTTCTTCGCTACAGCTCCATGTTGCAGCCATGGCTCGTTCTTTTCTTGCTAGGGGACATTCAACCTTGATATGCCCAGTTTTTCCACATCTAAAGCAACCGGTAGTGTTTTGTACCTTAACCGGCTGAAGTTGTTCAATCCTGCTTTTGTGGAAAGTTCTTGATTGAGGATATTTTGATGTACCACCTTCTTTCTCAACTTCTCTATTCTTGTTGACGAAGTTTCCTCTTCGTTTTTCTCTTCTCACTCGAAGTAGTCTACTAATTTGTTTGCTTAGTAGAGCCAATTCTTCATCCTCCATATCATCGAGATCTTCTGTGTCTTCATTGTATGTGGTAGCCTTGAAGGCTATCCCCTTTTTCCCTTTATCATTATTTCCCTTGTTGAGCTTGTCTTCATGAGTTGCTAATAACCCGATGAGTTCATCTATAGCTAACTTCTCTAGATCTTTAGCTTCCTCTATTGCAGTTACCTTTGGAGTCCATTGCTCTGGGAGACTCCATAAGATTTTTCGAACAAGATCTCCACTTTCATATGATTTCCCAAGATTCTCCAGACTGTTCACAATGTTTGTGAAACAATCGTACATTTGCCGGATCGTTTCTCCTTCTTCCATTTTGAACAACTCGAATTGTTGTTTCAAGGAATTAATTCGAGAAGTTTTGACTTGAGAGGTGCCTTCATACGTAACCTGAAGTTTATCCCAAATTTCCTTAGCAGTCTTGCAACCAGCAACTTTGTGATATTCTTCTGGACCGAGTGCACAATACATGAGATTAGTTGCCTTGCAGTTTTGTTGAAACTTCTCAAAGTCCTCGTCTGTCCATTTTTCTTGATCCGCCTTAAGTTCATACGGACCCTTGATGACTCTAGCCCAGAGTTTTGGATCTGTCGATCCAACAAATAATTCCATCCAATTTTTCCAATATCCATAATTAACCCCATCAAATCTGGGAGGCCGATTTTGAGAGAATCCGTCAGCCAAATAGAGTGAGCATTATTCTTGGAACCCGACGCCATTTCGATTAGCACCGGAGGTCGTTGAACCTTGTTCTACGGTGACCGTGCTCTGATACCACGTGTTGGTTGCGTCGAGCGCGAGACTCTATACCTGTCTTTCAACAACTTTACCACAAATAAACTCAATAATAATGTTTTACCCAATTAAACATAAAAGACTAATCAAAAGGTTAATTCAATTTAATGAGTCTGCTCACAAAACCCTCGGACTAAACTTTCCTCACTAATTAACTCCCTTAGTTTAGTTACTCGTTTAAACCTTTACTTAACCTAATAAAAGCAACGGCCACACACTAAAGGCCTAGCGTTGTTGACTGAATGGGCTTGCGAACCCAACTGCTCAATACTCGCTGGAGAAATAAGTTGACTTGAAAAGCCCAGCCCAATAAAATAGTCTAGCCTATTCAGTCACTAAGTGGCCAACTCTAAACAGCCGAGTTTTAACTTCAAATTCAGAGTTCCCTCCTACTTAGCCCTTCGATCCAAGGTTGTCCTGTTTCTATCAAAGTGATGAGCAGAGAAAAGAAAAATAAGAACACTTCAATATGAACCCAGCAAAGAATGAACCCAGTTCAATCAAACCCTGCTTCACGAGTTCCTCAGTTCTGTTCAGGCAAGTCGCCTTCCCTGGATGCTCTTGGATCGAGTTCCCCTGCACAGCCTGACCTGGAACAGAATGCAAGCAAAAGTACACACAGACTGAAAATGTAAAGCAAAATACGAGCCCAACACACGATTTTTACGTGGTTTCCAGTATTGGGAGAATGAGGATCCCAATACTGACTACTCCACGGTCAGAGAATCATGATAATGTGATCTCCGACGATTCACTATGATTTTGCGTTGAAGTTCTTCGTTACAAGCTATCTACCCAAGAGCCCTTTGAACAATCTCTACCCGATTGCTCTAACACTCTTTTCTCAAACCCGAATTGCTTCCCCAGCAACTCGAAACCAGTGTTTCCCCAACACTAACCCTCAAAGCAATTCTCCCCAAACCCTTTGAGAAACCCCCTTTTCTATCAACCTTGCTACTCTCTCACAAAATCCCCTTTTGTCTTAGCTAGCTTTGTTGATCTCCGAAAAGGTTGGTTTTGCTCTTCCTTCAAATCGCCTTTTATAGGCTGCAATGTAGCTGTTGAGAATTTGAATTCCCTTGAAATCTTCCAGTATGGCAAGTTCTTATTCTTTCTTCTTTTGACCCGAAAACTTGCCTTAACTGTTTTTGGGCAGCCACCTTATTTCCAGCTGTGATTTTATTCTTTATCTTGGCCTTCAAGCTGCTCCTGTCAACAGAAGCTCCCTTAATAAATCCCAGGTACGAGAATGATTTTCTTTTTCCGGCCAGCCATATATACCAGTGAATCGCCATTGATCTCTGCCTCTTTCATCTTTGATTACTGCATCCATATAATTTTTCGTTGAGTCTTTTATCTCCAAGTTGACTCCCTCTTGCCAAAACATACACAAGCCTCCTGACTTTCCTTCAATCGGCACTCCATCCCCTTTTTGGAAACCCAGCTTCCTCATTATTTTCTCCCAACCAGCCTTCTTTAACTTTGTTTCTGAAAGGAACACGATTTGGGGTTTTTGGAATCTGATCATCGATCCCAGGACTGTAACTGCCTTGGGATCCCCTAACCCTTGGCAGTTGAGACATAGTAGACTCATTGTTGTAGGCGGCCCTGTTCCTTGACAGGGTCCGCCTCTGGTAGTCGTTGTTTGTAGTTTCCCTTCTCCTTCTTTGATCTCTTTCCTTCATGCTTGTATCCCACCTCCCCTTCTTCATCGATTTCCATATCATCTTCTTCACTGGTTCTCTTCTTTCCCACTTCAACGATTTCCACCGATTCCCCTGCTTTGCTTTCTCTGTTCTTTTTTCTTACCCATTTTTTGCTGACTCGTTTGGCAGGACGCTTTTTTGTCTCTGTCTCCTGGCCCATTTTCTTTATTTGTTTCTTCTGCTTCATATTGAGAGCTTTGTAACTCTAGGCCCACAAATTCTTGGGCCAAAGGTTCTTTGAATGCTTCGTTATTGTACTCTTCTAACCCACTTTCTTTAATTCCCTCCTGCTCTTTTGGATCCTTCCTCTTATCATTATTCTGTTCTATTTCCAACAAGTCGTTCCGACTTCCTTGCTCTCCCGTTTCTTTGTCTTTACTCTCCACCATTTGGGAGAAAGAAATCTCATTAATTATATCAAATAACTTTTTCTTTGCTGGCTTCGGAACCAGATGCGTCATCCCTTCAATCGAGCCAGAGCTCTTCGGCTCCCCGGAATTTTCGCCTGAGACTTTCAGTTTTTCCGCCGACCAAATATTTTCCACTTTTGTTGCCTCCGATCTATTCTTCTTATCGTGCTTTTTGATCAGAGACATAGCTCGCATCCAGCTTCCATATTGAATTTCATCTTTTTGCACTAATTCTTCCAAGTAATCCTTTTTTAGATGTCCCAGCATTCCGCAGTTATAACAGAAGTTTGGAAGCTTTTCATAGGCCACCTCATACCATTGCTTCCGATTATCAACTTCCAGCAACACTCCTCTTCTCAGTGGCTTTGTAACCTGAAAAGTGACTCTTAGCCTCATATAGTTGCTCCATATCCCTGAATTGGCAGTGTCGTAGACCTTCAGGGCTCCAAACATGGCCTCGATTTTTGTAGCCATACTCTCTGTTCTCAACTTTGTTGGAATCTTCCTGATTCTAACCCACATCTCTTTGCAGCTAAAATTTGTATCTTTCAGCTCCTTACCCTATCAACCGGTCTGATGATGATTAACTGATTCTCGAAATGCCATGGTCCCCCCAAATAGTGCTTTTGCTCTGTCTTCTGCTTGTATGAATTGGAAAACCAACAAATTTTCCTCCATGACTTGAACATCAAAATCTTGTTTTGGCTTCTAGGCCGCTACCAACGCTGTTTTAAGGAACTTTGTTCCCGGCTTCCTTGATCCTAACAGCCTTCCAACCGCTCCTAATTCTTCCACGACACAGTCAGCCGTATTGTCCACATCATTTTCTTCTAATTTGATAGAACTAATCTCTTCTTCTGATAGGCTGATATTCCTCATCTGTTGCTCCAACTCCTTTGTCATTTGATCAGACCGAGGTCCCCACACCAGCACAATGACACAAGGAAAACACCAACAGAGGCACACGATAGACAAAGGATGGAAGAAAGTAAGAAAAGATAAAACAGAGGGTACTCCAATCTTAGAAACCAAAAGAAAGAGGGCAGAAAGCAAGAAGAGCTCCACCAACGGGAGATGAAAAGACAGCAAACAGCAAAGACTACTCTACGAAGTAGAGAGAGAAGCTCTCATAGAGAGAGATAAAAGGTCACTAATTATCATGCAAAAGACATTTAATTTGTGCATCTTGCTGTTTTTTATATGAAAACAAAGAGTAAGAGTGACTCTCCCAAAAATAATATGACTTATTTAAATACTATAATAAATATCACAAAAATGAGACGATGTAAACCACAATTGACAATTCACCAATTTTCTTAACATTATACATGCATTGATCATAATGCATGATTTAACTATCACTAAAACCAAATGATCACTAAATTGATTAAATTAGTTGGATTCTTTAATGGATGGACTAAATTGGATTGGTAGATTGGATTCAACTTGTCACCTTCTTGATGATCCATCATAAATATTAGCCTTGACAAAGTACTATGCTTCGAGCTACAATCATGTCTAGGATTTGTCAAGATTCAAGGCAGTGCTACGTGTAAGACGAATGTTGGGAATGACTCAATTCTAACTACACTCTCTATTGAAGGTCAAATGCAACCTTCAATCAGGTGTAATATATAGCAAGTATATTTTGAATTATCACACCCGGGCAATCTATGAATTCTTACTCCAGTAAACTACAAATTATCTAGCAGTAGAAACATTGTTACAAGCCATAAACTAAATAAACATGTAAGTAAAATGACATTGATTTCAATTTAAGAAAACTTCACTTGGATGAGTTTCCCTATAGTCCTATATCGAGTTCACTATGTGACTCCTAGCACGATCCACACTGAGCATACAACGTAGCCGTAGGGAGCTAAAATCTAGACAGAAGTCCCTATACGAATTATCATATCTCACCCAATTGTTCTACCCGGAGCGACATGTCAAACTAATAGCGTAGACAATTAGGGCAACCAAAACTACTCCCACCTTGAGAGTGATGACCCGATTCGGCACGAAGAGTCTACTCTTGTTAATAGACCCCAATCGTTGATGTGGTGATGCTCTCAAATCTCAATTCACGCCAAGAAAATGTTTTCTTTATCATTAATGTTTTGGAAGTTGAGATTTGAAGTGAGGTATTTAGCAAATACATGTAATGATAAGATTAAGTCGTTTTTTTAGTTCACTTTGAGTTAGAATGCATGTATTATGTTTTTTTGGGCCCACCTATAATCACTCAAAATGAACGATTATAAATCTCTACAAATAGGTGAGATTGTTAATAAGGGATTGTCTATCATACTTTTTGTTTCATCATTACCCCTCCAAACAATGTATTTACCTAATACATATATTGAATCAGTATATCAAATGATAATACACAAATTGAACAAATGCATCTATTTAGAGAATCTCAACCTCGAAACATGCCCTTAGTAATTTTAGGGGTTAATTTCACGGTTGGTCACTGAGATTACAAGAAACGTCCATGTTTGGTCACTCAAAATTTTTAAATCCATTCGTGGTTACTAAAATTAGTAAAACCGTCCAAGTTTGGCCACTCTCTGTTAGTCTCCGTTAACGACTTCAGTTTTCTGCTGACGTGGCTAATAGACATGTTTGGTCACCCAATTTAACCTGCCACATCATATGACCCGACCCGCCATGTCGGAATACTATATAACCTAACCCAACCAGTTCAACAACCAAACCAACCCTCTCTTCTTAACGTTTCGGGCAATTAACCTAAATATTTTTTTATCAAAGAAATTATCCTAAATCTTGCCTTCACTTTGACATCACAAACACTTCGTCATGATTTGGAACACTAGCACCAACGAGGAAGAGGATTGGGTGCCATTACCAATCATCCCTCCAATCCCTAAACTAACCACCATTGTTCTCCCGAAACTCACAACAAAATCGAGCAAGAGTGTCACAATTCATGTTGAAGGAGAGGAGAAGAGAGTAATTGCTCGATTAGTTCAAAGGTCGAGCTCCATAATTATGCGGCAGATATCGCATCTGAGATCTAACTTGTCGGGACAGTTGATGGTGACAACTAGGGCTGGAAGTTTGGTACCAGTATTTGGGATATACCGAATACCATACCGAATTTGTCTATATTTGGTATTACCGAATACACGTATTATTTTTTGGGATTGGGATTCAATTTCAATTGTTATTAGGTATTAAGGATTACGGGATTGGGATCGATATATACCGAAATACCGAAATATAAGCTAGTGTGTATTTTATCATCTCAACTAGAATCTCATTCCCTACTAAACTACCCTCAACCACCAATCTATTGTTATTTTCATAACACCAAAAAGCAAACACTAGTATTAGTCTTCTCTCGGCCTCCAATTCGTCAAATTAAAGATTACCAATGACAAAAGCTTAGAGGTTTGGTGAAAATATCGGCCCATTGGTTTGTCGTAGGCACAAATTCTAGTTGAATTTGGCCTTCTTCAACCAATTCCCGAATAAAATGATACCTAATTTCTATATGTTTGGTACGAGAGTGTTGAACCGGGTTTTTAGCCATATTAATGGCGCTCGTATTATCACATAGAACTGGCATCGATTTTATATCTAACCCATAATCACCAAGTTGATGTTTCATCCAAAGAAGCTGAGTGCAGCAGAGCCCAGCTGCCACGTATTCAGCCTCGGAGGTGGATAAAGCAACAGAACTTTGCTTTTTACTAAACCAAGACGCAAGAGAATTTCCTAGAAACTGACACGTCCCAGAGGTACTCTTACGATCAACTACGCACCCAGCATAGTCCGAGTCACTGTATCCAATTAAATCAAGACTTGACTCACAATCATACCACAGACCTAGATCCATTGTACCAGCTAAATAACGAAAGGTTCTCTTGACCGCAGTCAAATGACTTTCCTTAGGTGAACTTTGAAATCTAGCACAAAGACACACGCTAAATTGAATATCGGGTCTACTAGCAGTAAGATACATTAGTGACCCAATCATTCCTCTATAGAACTTCTCGTCGATTGCTTTACCCGACTCATTCTTGTCTAGTTTAATGGTGGAAGCCATAGGGGTGATGGCAGATTTTAGGTTCCCAAGTTCAAAACGTTTTAACATATTTTGAAGGTTTAATACACTTGTATATCCAAAACTTTCACGGTTGTGCCAATAATATCCAAATTTCCCGGAATACCACTTATATCCATGTTTTAAAGTTGTTTTTTTTCCCAAATCTATCCATTTCCCAATATATTTTTGGTTAAATACACTTGTATATCCAAAAACACCGTTAAAGAATGTGAAGGAATTGGATATAAGTGGTATTTCGGGAAATTTGGATATTATTTGCACAACCGTGAAAGTTTTGGATATACAAGTGTATTTAACCTATTTTGAATATACTTAGTTTGACTAATGAAAATTCCACGAGTTGTTTGTTTAATTTGCAGTCCCAAGAAGTAAGTTAGTTCTCCCATGGCACTCATTTCAAAAGTTCTCTTCATGATATTTTCAAAATATTCACACAACTCTTTGCTAGAGGATCCAAATATGATGTCATCAACATAAATTTGAACTAGCAGCAAATGTTGTTCTTTAGTTTTTATGAAGAGAGTTTTATCTACTGAATCTCTTTTAAAACCTTCTCCTAAAAGAAAGGAGCTAAGTTTATCATACCAAGCTCGAGGAGCTTGTTTGAGACCATATAGTGCCTTCTTTAATTTATAGACATGGTTTGGGTATCTAAAGTCTTCAAAACCGGGTGGTTGTTCAACATACACTTCCTCTTTTAAATCTCCATTTAAAAAGGCACTCTTGACGTCCATTTGAAAAAGCTTGAAACCCTTAGAGCTAGCAAACGCACATAACATTCTAATAGCCTCTAATCTAGCTACCGGAGCAAAGGTTTCATCAAAATCAATTCCCTCTTCTTGATTATACCCTTTAGCTACCAGCCTAGCCCTATTTCTAGTAGCTACCCCATTTTCATTTGACTTGATCTTGTAGATCCACTTAGTTCCGATAATAACTCTATTAGGAGGTCTAGGAACTAACTCCCACACATTAGCTCGTTCAAACTTACTCATTTCATGCTTCGACGAGAGCATTGAAGGCTCCTGGACTTCTTGCCGCCGCCGGAAAGACGAGGAAGGGTTTGGTCGGGTTGGATCGTCTGTTGAGTTAAGTTGGATTGGGTTTAATGACGTGGTGGGTCGGGTTTCAAACTTGTTGGTTTATAATTGGTTGATTAGGCACTTCTGTTAGCCACGTCAGTAAAAAACTAATGGTGTTAACGAAGGCTAACAAAGACTAACGGAGAGTGACTAAAATTGGACGATTTTATTAATTTTAGTGACCACGAATAAATTTATATATTTCGAGTGACCAAACATGAACGTTTTTTTATAATCTCAATGACTAATTAAGAGAGGTGACCAACCATCAATAGATTACTTAATGGTGGAGTTTT